GTCGTTTGCCTTCATCGCTGATAGCAACTCCATTCTATACATTTGTTCTCTTGTAATCTATTTGACCAAAAGAGATTGTACAGCTGGGTTAAAAGAAACTATAATTAATTTGAAGCTTTCGGCATGCAGATTATAACTAATTAACCACTATGTTATATATCAACATTTTACATCCAGCAGTGTAGACATTAAAGTATAATATATATATATATATATATATATCAACATCATGCAAGTTGGGAAACACTCTACAAAATAACTTTACGAGGATGTGACCAATTCGTTCGCCTATCATTTTTATTAGGTATATATAATATGGGATCTAGTTAAGTGAAATAAAGACCTTAATTTACAGATCAGTAATCTTATATTCAAACTCTGCTTTCCTTCCTTCCTAACTTTGGCAAGAAATATATATGTGTGTGTGAATAGCTTGCTTGATACTTCAATGTACAACATGTTGCCTTTAAGCACATGAGCTGGTTTACATCTCAAGGTTGGTGTTTGATATGAATTATTTTCTAATTTTTATGACAATAAATGTCCCATCACATGGTAGTGATCATTTGAGCAATATAGAAAACGAATATAAGCATATAAATTTATATGGTGTTTGGTATAAATATATGTATATAAATTTAACCTTATGAAATTTACGGGTCAACCATCAGATGAAGTGATGAAACGCAGGCCGTCTCCACTTGCCCAAAAGTCCACTTTTTCTCCCGTTTTATAAATTATTTTGGAGTTGGGTGGGTACCTTCCAAACCCTTTTTAATTGATTTGGTACAGTCAAATTCAATTTTATTTTGTACAAAAAAATAGACTTAAATTTTTTATCAACCAATTAATAAATAACCTATGGATGAGCAGCCAAGAACTCCGTCTCTAAAAATCCATACTTGAACTCCTCCTCGCTTTCAGTACTACTCGACAAACACAAGAAGTATAGTCCTCACGCGGTTGTTTAGCCTTCCACGATTATATAAACAAAACAACGAAACCCTTACACGATTATATTATTATAATTAACTATGAAAATTAAAAATTAAAATGATTATCAAACGGATCCTAAATTACCAGAGTACCGCAGGTGTGTCGAGGCTAAGCAAGAACAAAGAATTAGAGAAAGGTAGACGAAAAATAAGAGTCCACAAGTGTGAAGGCCGTTTAAGCTTTTACACTCAAATTTCATGCTCTTTACGAATAAGTAGATAATGAAGTTTTATGGTACCAACTTCGTGGCTCGTTTTTTGGCACGACGAGAGGCACTAATTATACTGCAAATTGGCACTTTTAAAGTAGGCAAGCTATCAAAATAATCTTTTTTTGGTATAGATATATATATACATTTTTTAAACCGTCGAACATTTCCACGATTACATTACAATCTTTCACAGGCCATATCCAAAATGATTTGTTTGACTTTATAGGCTTTCCCCACCCTCTCTGTTCTCTATATAAACTCTGTTCTTGGCATATTGTGTACTTGCGCCCTTATCCATCCCCTTCATCATTTGCCAACACTCCATTATTTCTCACATATATCTATCTTTCTATCGGCAGCTTAGCTTGCAACACTAAATCAACCATGCCTATTGTTATCTTAGTTTCATGAAAAGACAAAGAACAAGGAACGGCTCCCCCCCCCCCCCCCCCCCCCCCCCCCCCGCCCACCCCACCCCGCCAGTCTTCATGCCCATGGTCCTCTTCTTCCCTAAAGACCCCGACGCCACCGACTCCACATACATACAACAACGCTGCACAAGAATCAAACTAGCCTTATCCGAAACCCTATCCAAGTTCTACCCCTTAGCAGGACGCGTCAGGGAAAACCAATACATCGACTGCAACGACGAGGGTGCCCTCTACGCCGAAGCCAAAGCCAATGTTACCATCGCCGACGTAATCACAAACCCTATCCCTAACGACTTCAACAGGTTCCTCCCATGCGAACTTGACTCCGCACATGAACTGGGCGTGTGCCTACAGGTCACGTCGTTTGTGTGCGGCGGTATGAGTATCGCCATGGGCATGTCCCACAAGGCCGGAGACGCCTTGGCTTATTTCAGTTTTCTCAACAGCCTCGCAGCAGCCACGCGGGGCGAGGTCGACGCCGTGCCCGCACCCGTTTTTGTGTCCGACAAGTACTTCCCGCAAATGGACTTGTCCGGGTTTTACCACCCCACTAACGGGATGGTCAAAGACAACATTTCCACGAAACGTTTTGTGTTCGAGGCACCAGCAATTTCGACACTCAGGGCGAAATGCACGGGCGCCCAGAACGAACACGCTCGGCGTCCTACCCGTGTGGAGGCCTTATCGGCCTTCATATTGAGCCGATACACAGCATCCTGCAACAACTCGAAGCAAATCGACAGCTCTGATGATGTCCCGAAGACATACATCGTGTCTCATGCGGTGAACTTGCGGACGAGAATGGATCCACCACTTCCGGAGTATACTTTCGGGAATTTGAGCCGAATGTCACAAGCGAGCCCACAAGTGGCCGTGGGCCCCAAAGACCGGTCTGTGTCCGACTCAACACTACAAGCCATAGTGAGCCACGTCAGAGAGGGGCTCAAGCAAGTCAACACGGAGTATGTAAAGAAACTGAAAGATGGGCACCAGCACTTGAGTTTATTGAAAGAGCGCATATCGCAAGTGAAACGCGGGGAGTTGGTCCCGTTTAGCTTCACGAGCCTGTGCAGGTTCCCGATGTACGACGCTGATTTTGGATGGGGAAAGGCTGTTTATATGGGGTCAGCCAGTTTGACGTATAGAAACTTGGTGAGTTTCTTTGACACTCCAAGCGGCGATGGGGTGGAGGCGTGGGTTAATTTAAGGGAGGAAGACATGGAAAAATTTGAAGCTGATGAGGAGTTTCTCAAATATGTTTCACCCAACCACAGTTGGAAGAAATCGGGGGTGAAAACTTTGATTTACTAGCTTTCGCATATAATATATAAAATTTGCTACCTTACAGTAATTTTCTTTGGTTGATTTTGTGTGTTATAAGTTTCCAAGTGTAAAAAAGTTTATTTCTATTTTTAAATCATGTGGTGTAATGAGTTTGGTGTTCTTGATCAATTAATGTTGTGAAATAAGATGGAAGAATTAACTATTCTAATTGTTTTTTGTGTACCAACTTCTTGTTGTT